TGAAAATTCTTATTTAAAGTCCTTAATGGAACCAGTCTTGAAAATCAGAAATGCTGCATTGTGTTTGCTTAATGCTTCTGTGAATGCAGTTAGTGCTTTGATTAGTGTAGTGGTTAGCGATGCTGCCTGTCATACCGATATTCTTGAATTCAAATCTTGGAGAGAGCATTGATGCTTGAAGATTTACGAAAATGTGTGCTTAAAAATATGCAGAATTATGAATATATAATTTCGCCACCTCTTAATATTTTTTTTTAAATTTTAATTAATTCTTTTTTATACTCTTGCAGAAATAGTTTGAGAATGCTGACAATGGATTAGATATTTTTTGCTTAGTTATGAAATAACTAGAATTGTTCTAGCAACCGAATATATGGCATTCATTATTAAAAATTAAATTATTACATTTATTTGAGATTTTGATACTGTCACCTTATTCACCTGGCACTCTTGCAAAGCTGCCAATAGTTGGCAACTAATATTTTGTCAATCTAACTTATGGAACACGGTAGCCATTTTAAAAAATGGGTGTGCTGTGAAAATTACGCAAAAGAGCAACAAATTAACAAACTTAAAAGTGCAAGAAGCATCCATAATAAAATGCTCAAAGTGACATAAAATACATAAAATGACATATTTATATATTTTTATCTTACACACACACATATATATGTAGTAGGGGAGTTGAAGATGCTAATTAACAATCCCAACTTTGTTTTCCACACCACAGAACATTTAATAAAGATAATCAGAAAAGGTACAAATTAGATTAAATACAAGTGCCGTTTGATACAAAGAGGATTCTGTATAGCTTTTACCAGTCTTATCACACAACCGATTAGTGCCTAGTCGCATTTGCTGATGTATTAAACAGTCCAATTTACCACCTTCGCGTGGAAAACTACAGTTCCTTATTCTACACCTTCACGTGCAGACAGACATCTCACCACCTTCGCGTGGGATAGCAGAAGAGTCTCTGTCATACTCCTATTTCACCTCGCTGCAGGCGCATCGGTGAGGCTCTCTGGTGGTTGTGTCGCACTTCCAGATACTACAACTCGGCCTTCTGACACTTTTTCGTCCTCGAAAACACGGATCAGCTACACTAGAACATCAAGACAGCACCTGAAAATAAATTAAAAAAAAAAAAAAAAAAAGAAAGAGAAAGAAGTGTGGAAGAAGCACACCTATATAGTAGAAGTCCATGGCATCATGAGATCAGCTGCTGTAGTGGTACATCCAGGACCTTCATGGTGTCCCACTTTTTCCACCTGGTAACGATCTTTGCCTTTCCTCGCTGTTACACGATATGGACCGAAGAACTTTGGCCTTAACTTTAGACCACCTCCATACTGCGTTCTTTGTATGGCAACTAGGTCGTTCACATTGTATACTCGTGCCTCTTTTCTCTTCTTCTTGTATGTTTTTCTATTCTCTTCCTGAATTTTTAGAATGTTTTTCCTTGCTTCCTCTCTCATATCTTCTCGATCTTTCATCACAATATTTCTTTCTTCTTCTTCAAGGATTTCCTTAATCTTTAAGTCCTCTCGATTTCTCATTTTAACACCAGTGAGAAGCTCAAATGGAGAACTCTTTGTGCTTCTGCTCTTAGTGCTGTTTAAGATCCTTTGTACATCTCCAACATATTTGTACCACTTGGTTGGATCATCTATGGATAATTTAGATAGGACTGGAATCAGAGTAAGATGAATTCTTTCAACTTGTCCATTTCCTCTAGGAACGCTGGTAGTTGTGAATATGTGCTGGATATTCTCTTGACTACAGTAATCTTCAAAGTCTTTAGAGGTAAACGCCGTACCTTTATCACTTATAATTCTCAAAGGACTACCGAAAGTTGATTGTTGCAGTTTCAGCTTCTGCAATGCCTCTTGAGCTGATGTAGACTTTACTGGATAGAGCCACATGAACTTTGTGAATGCATCAACCACGGTTAAGATGTGATTGTAGTTCTTATTTGTCGACGGTAATGGTCCTATAAAATCGATATGAAAAGTGCTCAAAGGGATACTATCTTTTGGTATGGGATTCAGCAATCCTTCGCTCTTACCTCGTTTTCTGTCGCACAAAATACATTCTACACAATTTGAAATAACTTGCTCAATTCGTTTTCTAAGGTTAGAAATATAAAAGTCGGTTTTCAGCAGATCTTCTGTTTTAGACACTGCGAAATGTCCCTTGTTGTGGATACTACGTATGATTTCTAGCTCTAATGCTTCGGGTACCACAAGTAGCTCATGACCTCTGTCAAACTTGTATAATACTCCATTTTTCACTAGAAAATCTTTCTTTAGTCCTTGCTCGACTAAGGATTTTAGCAACTGGAGACGCTCATCACTTCTTTGCGTAGCTGCAATTTTGGTTGTAATTTCTCCCTGAGAACAAGTAACCATCATGACCGCGTTTCTACTTAAGGAATCCACATGCTTCATTTGTTGCCCAGATCTGTGAACAATTTCATAGTCAAATTCTTCTAGAAGTAATGCCCATCTCGCCACTTTAGGAGTTAAATCCTTCTTGAACATAGTCTTCTGTAAAGCATCACAATCCGTAACTATCCTGACCTTAGATCCTAAAAGGTAATTCCTGAATTTCTTTAGAGCTTCTACTGTAGCTAAAACTTCAAGCTCATAACTAGATAGCTTCTCTTGTTGGAGATTAGTTTTTTTACTCATGAAGTAAATGGGGTGTAACTGTCCATCATCTGACTTTTGTAGCAATACAGCGCCGAAACCATGACTGCTTGCATCTGTATGCAATTCTAATGGTGCTCCTTGTTTAAAAATATAAAGAACCGGACTTGTGGATAAAAGTTCTTTCAATTTATTAAATGCATCTTTTTGTTCAGGCCCAAATTTGAATTCTGCTCCGTTAAGAAGAAGATCACTTAGTGGTTTCGCTATTTTTGAATAATTGGCAATAAATTTCCTAAAATACCCAGTAAGACCCAAGAAACTTTGAATCTGCTTAAGGTTTTTGGGTTCCGGGAAATTTTGAACAGCCCTGGTTTTTTCAGTAGAGGGGCGAATTGTACCATCCTCAATAACATACCCGAGAAATTCTATTTTTCTTTTCAACAATTGGCATTTCTTAAAATTAATCTCCAAACCATATTCTTTGGCTACTTCTAAAACGCGTTTCAACTTTTCTAAGCCTTCTTTCTCATTTCGTGCTGGAATAATAAAATCGTCCATGTAAGTAAAATCAGTGTCATCCCGAATTAAATCTCTAAACACATTATAAATAAATCTTTGAAACACACTAGGGGACGTGCACAAACCAAAAGGGGCTTTTAGAAATTCGTACAAGCATGCATGAGTAATAAATGCCAAATATTTAGTGCAGTTTTCCTCAACTGGAACATGAAAAAACCCATTCTTTAAGTCTAATGTCGAAAAAACCTTTGCTTCACCCAAACGATCTAAAACCTCTTCTACTTGTGCCATAGGAAAAGAATCCTTAACTATTTTTTTATTTAACTGCCTAAAGTCAACACAAATTCGTGTCTTGCCCGATTTTTTCCTACACAAAACAATTGGCGAAGCATATTCTGAACACGACGGCTTTATAATCCCATCCTTTAACCATTCATTTATTTGATTATCAACAATTTTTTGGTCAGCAAAAGGAATTCTCCTCGAACGTTGAGAAACTGGAATATCTTTTAATATTACTTTCATTTTTAAGTCTGTACTGCGCGGCTTTTCTAACGGTTTATACTCATTAATAAGAGTGGAAACAGTATTGCGTAATCCTTCATCTTTAATATGCCATAAATCTGTTTCGCTGTCTGCCTCAATGGCTGCAGAAATAAAAGACAAAAATTTCCTTTCCGAAGAGACGGAATCATTTTCATATTGCGTATTCATCATTTGGTCACAACAAATCATTTTTAGACAGGAAGGGGGGAAAATACAGTCTGTTATCAATCCATCAACCATCGCTGCTTCAATCTCTTTTTGTTTTTTGCTTTCGCATAAAGAAAAAATAAACTTAGCCGTTTCCGCTTTAACTACGTGACCAAACGAACTTTTGAGCTCGATACATCCACTTGATAATTTATTCGGAAAAAGGGATTTCTTTACAACTATCAATTCACTTCCAGAATCAATTAAACATTTTACTTTTTTACCATCAATCAACAGTTCAATAAATTCTAACTTATTTCTAGCTGCATTATCCGAGTCAATCTCTAACCCAGATACTTTTTTTAGAGACAAACTTTCCTCCTTTCCTAACCGTTTGGGACAATTTCTAGCAAAATGAAATAATTCCCCTTTACTCCCACATACATAGCAAATACGTTCTGGTAACAGTCCAATTTACCATCTTCGCGTGGAAAACTACAGTTCCTTATTCTACACCTTCACGTGCAGACAGACATCTCACCACCTTCGCATGGGATAGCAGAAGAGTCTCTGTCATACTCCTATTTCACCTCGCTGCAGGCGCATCGGTGAGGCCCTCTGGTGGTTGTGTCGCACTTCCAGATACTACATATATAAAAATGTAATATATAATTACATGTATAATGTATATATTTTTCTCTGTTGAATGAATAAATGGTATAAAAATTATAATCGGTAAATCCTTCAAAAACTACACTTCAAATTAAGCTTAGTTAATTCCTTAGAATATCTGGACATTTTGCCTATTTAGTGTTCCTTTATATATTGATTCATACGAATAATAAAATAGAGCACTTGAATTAAATGTTTTACGTTTTACAGTTAGACTCTTTTACTGTCCTGTAATTGTTAACTTTGGTATTTAATCCACTAAAGGAAAAACTTTCAGAATTTTTTAATGCTTTTCATGTTATAGTATTCTACCCATTTTAAAGTTCTGTCATATATTTATTTTAGAAATTTTTTATTAAATTATATTCTTATTTTAATAAAAGAAATGTGTTTGTTTAAATTTTATGTAATTTTTTATCTCTTTAACTATTTTAAAATTGCAACTTGCTCTTTCTTTTATAGGGAATATTTCCTGCATCATTTATACATCTTAAAGCTTTTCATATTTATAATGAAGGGTGAGTGTAAAGTTTTTCATTAATATATCCAAGTCTTTTTTTTTTTTTTTACCCTACTTAATTAGTGACATGTTTTTTAGTTTTTTAACGTCATTCATTGTCATCTAAATACATTTCCATTATAGTCTATATGAAACAGTTGCCCCTGTAGAAGATTCCACAGTGAAAGAAGTAGCATGTGTTCTTCGAGAATGGCATGTCATTTGGAAGCGGTTGTATGTTGTAAGTATAAATGCTTTATTCATAAAATTATAAATTGTTTATTTGAATTGTAAATATTTATTTTTGCTTTCTTCTTGCATAATAATAAGAAAAATGGAAAAGCAAACAAATTCTTCTGATTATTTCTCAAGGAGATTCAAAATTTTGGTTCTGATTAGCTGTAATTGATATGGGGCAGCCCAGTCTAGCTATTCAGTTGTGTACTAATGCCTTACAAGTGGTGTGAGCAGACATGTCAGCAGTAGGTATATCTTCTGACCGTCTGGTAAAGCAGCCAATAATTATCATACAATAACTATTACTCTTCAGATGGTGAAAGAGGGCATGTGAAATCAATATGAAGATGTGTGTATCATATGCAGTTTTGTTTTGCATCAGGCAAGGAGGAAGTACCTAAAGGTGATTTGAACATCTGTTGTAACAAGACTGAATGGCAGTTTTAATAAATTTCTTCAAGTTAAGCCAAAAATGTTTCTTAGTGATTATTTTTGTTGAGGCTAAAATGCTGAACTGAGGGAGAGAGTGAATGTTCTGAAAAATTGTAGAATTAAAAGAGTTAGGAATAAGCGTATGGCGTGCACCTGTGTCTGTATTGCAATGAAGGATAATATCTTCTAAAGAAAAATAATTTCTTTTTTTAGTTTAAAAATTGGTGAAGATTGAGAGAGAGAATTTTGAATTTTGGAGTCCTGAAGTTGTGTTTTAGGTAACTTTTTATAATCAGTGTGTTGTTTAGCAGAAACTGCATCTATTTCTACTTTGGTAAAGGCTCTGTGTTTGAGCGTGTACCAGAATTTCTTGATTGACAAATATATAGCCCGTAATTTTTTATCATTGGTTGACCATATCCTTTGGCTTTTGCTGAGTTTAATGGATAGAAATGCAATGGGTTCCCAAACTGAAGTATGCAGTTGCATTAATGAGCTATAAAACACAGTGCCTGATGTATCAGTGCAAAGTTTGGTACTTACGTATTAACGCTACCAGGCAAAAATTCGCATAAATTGCCAAATTTGGCGACCCTACTTACGGCAACCCTACGTGTTATACATAGTTTTGTAAAAAGAGCATGTGGAGATTCACAAAATTTTCCTGCATTTTCGTGCAAATTTTTGTAATTTATGAGAAAATAGCAGTGTACATGTATAAAGTCAAGAGTGTGCGCAATGCCATTTTTGTGCAATTCTGGGATGTTTTTTTAAGTAAAAATAAGTCGATGTGTACATGGTTATGGCGAATACGGTTTTCAATCAGTGCTAAAAGCAATAGCCAAAAGATTTCCGCCGAAAAAATAATTCTGCAACTTATTAAACCCTTCCGGTTTCGAATTTGAATAAGTTGCAGAATTATTTTTTCAGCGGAAATCTTTTGGCTATTGCTTTTAGCACTGATTGAAAACCGTATTCGCCATAACCATGTACATGTCGACTTATTTTTACTTAAAAACATCCCAGAATTGCACAAAAATGGCATTGCGCACACTGTTGACTTTATCCATGTACACTGCTATTTTCTCATAAATTACAAAAATTTGCACAAAAATGCAGGAAAATTTTGTGAATCTCCACATGCTCTTTTTACAAAACTACGTATAACACGTAGGGTTGCCGTAAGTAGGGTGTAAAGCTGTAAGTAGGATTCAACTTATTCGAATTCGAAACCGGAAGGGTTTAATTGCTATTTTATATTTTAAAACAAAATAATATAAAAAACTGTATTAAAAATTATCTGTAATTAATAAATGTACATTTTCTTTCTATTCATACTTTTTTACTCAAAGTTACAAATAGCGCCAACCTGCGATAATACGTAAGTACCCAAAGTTTTAAAGTAGTGTCAGGAATTGGGTAGCCTTGGCAATTGCCTTTTTTGCATCGGTGAATGCTTTCTCATTTTCTCTGTCCTGTTCGAGAGCGTGTTCTTATATTCTCGGCTGCGAAGGTTTATTTTTATTAATGCTACCTTCCAATAACCTATTTAAGGGAACCAAAACTTGCAAAGCTGTTAAGATAAAATGTCTGTAAAAGTTAACAATGCTGAGAAATTTTTGTAACTGTGTTAAAGAATTCAGTTGGGGAAATTTTGAATGGCTTCCACTCTTTGAGTAAAGGTTTTGAACTCTGTTCAGATACATGAAAACCTAAAAACTTGAAAGATGTTACACCAAAGATGAATTTAGATACATTAGTTGTTAGCCCATAATTACGTAATCTTTTGAAAAGAGCTTTCATGTATGTCAAATGCTCAGTTTTGTCTTTGACGCAGTTAATATATCATCAACAAAAGCAAACACTCTTGCGAAACTACAAGTTACTTCATCAATGAACCGTTGAAAGGTTGCAGTGCTTACCCCAAATTGCGTTCTTGTGCTCTCAGAAAGTCCGAGAAAAGTGGCTGTAACCATTTTGTGAATATTAGAAATGTTAACTGGAATTTGATGATAGGCTTTTATCAAGTCTATCCAAGAAAATATTTTTGTGCCATGAAGATCTGCTGCAAATTCACAAATGCTGGGAATAGGGTACTTATCCCCTACTGTCTTAGCATAACTTGTGAAAATCTCCCACAGCTCTCAATTTGTTTATACTTTTTTTTAACACTATATGTAGAAGAGAGGAGTAATTACTTTTGGAAGGTTGCATGTGGCCTAAATTGATCATTTTTTGGATTTCATCATTAATAATTTTTAGCTAATTTTCTAGGCTTATACGACACAGGAGGATCTACTGTTTCAATGAAATGATAGTATTATGCTTAATCAGGAAGCTTCAACAATGAAGGATAGTTATTCATAGTAATTATTTTGATAGAATACAGAAATGTATGTTAATGATACTACAATTAATTCTGAAGTTATTAAACCAACACATTTAATATTCCTTAAATCAAGTAATAAATCTAAATAATGTAAAAAATCAGATCCAATAATGCTTGTTGATACTTTATGTACATAAAATACAAAGTTTAAATAGTGACAATCTGAGGTCAAGACCTTAAACGTTTTCTGACCATAAACTGAAACTGGAGTATTGTTGGCAGCAAAAAATGTCAGAATAAATGTCTGATGCATTTCTTTTTTGGTTGCTGAGAACAGCCTAATATCGGAGCCAGTGCCATACAAAAAGATTTTGTTTTTCTCTCTGTCATAAAAAGGTGATGAGACTCGGAGCATAAAGCGCAAGTCCCCATTATGCTTCTGTGGAATGAAGACTGATGTACACATTTTTAAGCTTTCTCATTATATTCATGATGGTACTGGCAATATGAAGACTTCAAAAGTACCTGCAGCTGAGGTGTTTCACTTTATGTTAAAGTGGATTTTAGAAAACTGCATAACCATTGTTACTGAGATAGTATCACACCACATAATTTGGACACATCATCCAGCTGCGAACCTATTTTGAAAATATTAGACACATTGACTGACAGAGGTGAAGAAACTTTGCTTAGCTGTGTGGATGTGACTTCTAATATCTGATCCGCAACCCAAGTAGCACAGCAAACTGGTCGCGAGTCATGTTGCAAAAATGTTGCAATATGTCATCTTTAAGATGCCCAGATGTCCGTGAAACTCCACTGTTTTGCAACCATTGCAAAGATGTCTTTATTACATCTTTGCAGATGAGGTTTTTGTTGCATAGATGTCATTATTATGTCTTTCGCAGGTTATATTTTGGTTGTGAAAGCATTGTATCACGAAGCCTAAATTTTCGCAAAATTCCACCTTTTGCAACAGTTGTGAAAACATTGTTATTATGTCCTTGTGTTACATATTGATTTATGCAGAAAAATAAGCATAATAATTAATATATTTTCTTCTTTTTTAAAATTTTGTATTCCTTTATTTTTCTAAAGTTTAAATATTTTATCATTTCCTGAAAACATAATAATAATATAATTTTTTCTCTTTACACCAAATATGCATAATTAACAATAGCCTTAATTATTTTCAGTACTTAAATGTATATTTTTAAAATTTATCTTTAGACTAAATATGCATAATTAATAATAACCTTAATTATTTTCAGTACTTTAAACTATATTTTTTAAATAACTTAAATTCTAAATTGCAATTAATTGAGATTTCATCAATTTTTCCATTAATCCTTTAGTATGTAAGTGAGAGTAATTATGAAAGTGGTTATTATAAATACATAACATTAATACAGTACAAAGTCTGAAATCTGGACTCATCGGGACATCAGCGATTCCGTATTTGGGATTTTTCTGATATTAGGTCATCAATTTAAATCTGGTAAGATGGCATGCAGAAATTATGCAATTAAAAATATAAAATTGTAATTTATGAAATAAAGAGCAATTGTGATCTAAAGGGTATATCAATTTACAAAAAAAGCTTGATATTTATTTGTTTACTTTATTAAACATTTGTTTCAATGTAAGCTGTTTTAAGTTGCTTTTTTTTTTTTTTTTTTTTTTTTTGCTAATACTTTCTCTTTAATTCTAAAAACATAATTTATTATTCAGTTACAAAGTTCCACTGTTCAAGTCCTATAATTGCTATGTCGAGAATACCGACTAACTTGTCAATCAAAATTTTTTCCTTTTCAATGACCCCTCTATCATTTTCTTCACTATCGGTAGCTGTAATTTCTGGATCTGTGATTGATGATTGGGGTTGTTTATGTACGCACTAATGTACACTAATCGAATCACGAATGTCGCTGCCTACGCATTTAACTATCTAACGACGTATCTAAATGCCACATCTAAATTTCTGCAAGCGGTGGTTCAGCTATCATTCTATGATCAAATACTCAATCTAGTTTTAAAAGGATTTATTAAAATACTAAAATTAATCTAATCTGGAATCTAGAATCGAATCTAATGTTACATCTCAGGAGCAGCGTTCTTGCTGCATCATAACAAATCGAAAGTCAAGTTCTCACTGTTGCCATTCTGAGGCAGAGAAAAGTTTGTTTCTAATCAAACCGGAACTTTGGCATAGTGAAAGTTTCTAGTCAAACTGTAACATCCCG